CATATGACGGAAAAAAGCTGAGCACCTTTTCATCGGAATCGAAGGAGATTACCTCGGAAACAGCGTCGGCATGAATTTTTCAGTAAAGCAAATCGACAGCCGGTCAAGAGGAATCCGCCGTCGTCTTCTGGTGGAACCAAGCTTCGAATCTCTTCATCCAACACTTTCACTCGAAATGGAAGTAAGCACAACATGTAAAATAAGGTCCATATTACGAAAAGATAAAGCTATTAAACTAAAGGCCATGCTATCTTGGTCATCCTTTTTAAATAAATCTCAAAGTATAGCAACCTTAATGCGTCAAGGCACCATCTGCGATGTAACTGACACCATATATCATGAAGTATCAAGTCAGGGATATGCCAGAATGGACAATAAAATATTAGAAAAAGTGTAGGATCAACCTTGAATGGACTTACTGAATATTTCCAGTACATCGAGCTCTCGGCGTCTGTCGTCGAGTTCCAGTTCGCGCAGGCATTCTGTTTCGTTTGTATGAACACGCATATGTAATTTGATCCTCTCCTCTCTAAGAATATTTGTCAAAGTCCCTTTCTGATGCCAGGATAGAAGGTGTTTAATACAGGGTAGGCCATAGTAGGCAGCTGATATTGATAAACAATCAATGAAGAGCTGATTAAATCGCTCCTTCCAGACACAAACCATCGAATTCGAGGATACTGCCAGTGCAAAGTCAACAACCCGATGTGGATAATCGAGAAGGAATAGGTCAGTTTGAAGCAACGTTTTTGACCCAGGTAAGTCTTGCGGAGAAATAGACTTTACTAATCGCAAAGACTCCTCAAAAAGGATGTCTGCTATCATAGGTACGAGGCGACGAACAAAGACATCACAAAATTGACTGTAGATATCTTCTACCTCAAAATAATATTCCTCAGTAGAAAGTGAAGATGAAATAGGGGGATCAGATCGACTGGAGCCTAAAACGGCCGCATCCTTTCCTGAGAGATGAGAGGATAAATCGTGAGGTAAAGAGGAATTCGAGGGAGGCAGGTAAATTCGGAGAAGCATATCTAATTTAGACCTTGGAGACATTCGGCGCAAGTGTGAAAGAGTGAATCGAGCGAGTGACACTTTCTCTTGAAGATTGGATTGAAAATGAGCTCTCTTTTTTAAAACTTGGCGCCTGGAAGCTGCGTGCTCTTCCACTGGGGAGTTGAGATGAGATAGACTGTCATCGAACGATGCAGGGACAAGGTCAAGGCTAATAGTAATGTGCTGACCGATGGAAGCGATATTATTCAGTATATTGGAGCGGTGATAAACTATCTATGAATAAAGCATAAATGAGAAATATCAAATAATTATTTATAGTTATTAGATATCAACATTTATCAATATTTAATAGCAAATTACTGCAGCTAGACTATTATTATTATCATGGTTTTACTTCAATTAATAACGTCACTGGAATTACTAAGCCAGTTGGAGAAAAGAGGTAACAAATACAACTATAATTAAAATCATTAATCGTAATTTCTAATATAAAATGCCATATTATATTTTTTTAAATAGTAAAGCTTAAATAAGCAAGAGATCGGACAGCCTATATTGTCAGAACTATTTGGAAGAAAACACCAGACCGTCTACAGACCTAGCAGGCCTATGGCAAATAGTAATTTTAGCTCTGTTTTCGGCATTTAATACAGTCGCATTTAACGGCGTTGCGTCAGGATGAGAGATCTTGCAGTGAAGCATACGAGTAAGCAAGACTTATGCTAAAGAAGCAAATAAAAGCCATCGTAGTTTCCAGTCGTGTAGAATGAGTCGTCAACCTCAACTAAGTACACAAAAATATAATTACAATAAAAAGTCGATACAAATGCCTCAAAGCATCAAAGTAGAAAGTCACAAAATCGGCTTGGCCCAATTTCCATATTTTCATAGAAATATTAAATCCATACCAACTTCATTCTATCAAGCTTTGAAGAGGCAAATTAGATGTGTTGGTTTGACTTAGTTTTCGCAACTTGGTCGGAGCGTCAGGGAGACCTTGTTAAACGTACCTAGGCCTGCGCCCTCAGCCGTAGTATTCGTGGTTTCCAGCATCGGACTAGTGATTTAGTACATTCTCAATAGTGTGTACCTTTGTACATTCCGTAAATGATCCGATGCTGGAAATCACGAATACAACTGCAGAGGACACAGAACTAGGTACTTTTCACAAGGTCCCCCTGACTCACCGACCAAGTCGCGAAAATAATATCAAACCAATGCTATAAAGCTGAGACTGCAACCAAAAAGAATGCCAAACCACCTTGGTCTCCATATTTATGATGCAAATTAATTTTTAAAAGTCAATATGGTTGTCAAAATTTCGACGATTTGACAGCAACTGCAGTAGGAATGACACTACGGTCGACCAAAAGCGAATGCTATGGTTAACATTACTTAAAATAAGTGATGAAGCAAACTACTCATTTAGGATTCAAAAACTTTGAAAGGCGACAGAGTTAGCATCTGGAGATTCTTACTTCTGTCAATACATATTAAAATTGTTGGCCGAAGAATCAGTTTTGGTCTCATTTAGGAGGTAAATTGGGCCATTCCATTATGAACTGAACACGAAATAGTCCAGTCCGAGCCCTGAATATAAGTAAAGCAAGCCTGTAGCTGATGTATCCATCTCGTAAGTAGATCAAATTCTTTAAAGATCTATTATAATTGGCTAACACCTATTCAACCCTCTAGAATGTAAGGTCTAAATTTCTCAATTTAAAATCTACACCTATGAATTTAATATCGATCTTGCACTCTAATTTGCATAAAGTTATATGAGTTATGTAGTAGTCTCGAAAAACTACTCAAGAAATGCATAAAGTTAGATATTCTACAACTTATATTGATCTTTATAAACCTGTTCATATAAATTTAGGCCTGACTACCACCGAAAAATAAGATAAATAGCATAAGACTTAGAGGAACGCATCTCGTCAGGAGTCCATAGTAGGCATGATAATGTCCAGGGGCGGACCATGGACTTGGTACATTCTCAGATGTTCCACAGGCATTGCCAGTGAGCCTTGCCATTTTTGCACCACACTACATGCCAAAAAGGCAAGTGAAGTCTGCTTGGGGCAGAGTATATAACATAACTCTTCAAGTAATATGAGATGTATTCACCCAATTTCGTTTAAGGCCATGAAAGACTGGTAGAAGAAGAATTTTCCCACAATGATATGAGTAGAGCTGACGTTTCCATTGAATTTCACCTAGCCTTGCT